AAGGAGGAGGGCATTCTGTTGGGTTTTGTTCCTGATCTCTCTAGTTTCATGGTTCCTCTTATATAAGCTTTCTGCAGGAAACATCTATCTCCCGCTACAAAATACAGTACCCGCTTGAATTTTGAATTTTGGAATTCTAGGTATTTACTACACTGAGTGCCTAAATTTTTTGTTTTAAGATTTATTTTATGTATGTGAATACTTTGCCTGCTTGTACATCTGTGCATCACATGCATGCCTGGTGCCTAAGGAGGCCAGAAGAGGGCATCAGGAGCTCAATGTGGGTGCTGGGAATTGAACCCAGGTCCTCTGCAAGAGCAGCAGTCTTCTTAACCACTGAGCCCTGTTTCTAGCCCCCTACACCTGGTATTTCTGTTTTGGAAAAGGCACTGTCAGAGTGACAGACACGTGACACGTTGGCCTGAAGACTCCCTGTCTGGCCTTTTCCTGGCAAGCTGCTGTCTGCTGTTGGGATAACCTGCCTGCCCTTCTCCTTCGTTCCTAGGAATCCCACATCCCCAGTCACCGAGCCCCGGGGCTGAGCTCTTGACTATACTGAGCAACTCACTAGTTAGTGTACACGCCGTCCACTCCCTCTGGACTCACTAGTGTACACGCCATCCACTCCCTCTGGACTCACTAGTTAGTGTACACGCCGTCCACTCCCTCTGGACTCACTAGTTAGTGTGCACGCCATCCACTCCCTCTGGACTCACTAGTTAGTGCACATGCCGTCCACTCCCTCTGGACTCACTAGTTAGTGCACATGCCGTCCACTCCCTCTGGACTCACTAGTTAGTGCACACGCCGTCCACTCCCTCTGGACTCACTAGTTAGTGTACACGCCGTCCACTCCCTCTGGACTCACTAGTTAGTGTGCACGCCATCCACTCCCTCTGGACTCACTAGTTAGTGCACACGCCGTCCACTCCCTCTGGACTCACTCTCACCTCTGTGACACTTGCTGTGTCCCAGCTCTGTGGGAACTCTTTCCTCGTTTGTAGCTGCCGTGGCTTTCATGCGGCTCTGCTGCTCTTCCTCTTCCTGTTGTGACTGCGGCCTCTTCTCTCATGTCCTCTTGTCTCTAGTCCCCGCTCCTGTGCTCTTCCTGGTGCACTTCATCTTGACCTCACTGGTACCCTCTGGATGCTGACAGCAAGAGTGAGGTCCTTGCCACGCAGCGGCTTCTGCTCTAGGAAGGCTGCTGCCTTTGCACAGACTAGTTGGGGCTGGGGGGAGGATGGGGGTGTTTCCTCTTAGCTCTGCCCCTCAGGGGCTCTGAGGACAAGCTAGCCAGCTCCCCCCTCACTTTCCTCCTCTGTGATGGAGATCAGCCCGGCAGTTGCCCCATGCAGAGAGTGCAGAGCAGCCCCGCACAGCAGGGGTGTGGACCGGCTGGCAGCTCCCACCTGACCCTCCACTGGCTTTATCAGATGACTCCAGAGTCCAACTTAGACTTTATCCTTTTGTACTCACTGCTGCCAGCCGGCCCCAAGTCACGTGACTGAAGAACTGGGGCCTTGGGCTTGGTCACTGCTGCCTCCCCAGCACCACGTGTGGCACAGTGTGGGCACTCCAGAAGCCCTTCTTGAAGGGGTGTGCAGACACCTGTTTACGCCTCTCTGTCCTTGCTCATCTCTCCGCTTCCCTTTCATTGCCGATGTGTGTAGAGTGGCTCTCACAGTGAAGGGCTGTCTCTATTCGTGGTAGACTGTCAGTTTTGTTTCAGAACACCTGTCTCTTCCTGTTGCTCTCAACGGTAGTTCAGTGCAGAACACGAGGCTGGTATTTAGTCCTCATGCTCTGACGACTGCTAGTTGCTCTCTGTTTGAAAAGCGGCATGCTAGTCAGTGTCCGTCTCTGTTTGACATCAGGGCCGAGGTCAGTGGTGCTGTGCAGACCCACTCAAGCCTCTTTTTTAAAGAAGCCTCGTGAGTCTGTTGCTACACAGCCTGGAAGCTGTCACAGAGCCACAGTGAGCATGACATTGTGCAGGGATGCGGCAGTGAGCAGAGGAGTACAGAGCGGAATCAAGGGTGTCCTTTGGGACAGTGACAGAGTCGGTTACACATGTACTATCCAGCCGCAGCGAGGTGGAACTGAAGACGTAGAGAGCACATGCATACTTCCCACTGGACGGGGACTGGCCACAAACGCCACCCAGAGCGTGTTGAGCACGTCATTCAGAACAGTGCCCGGCAGGACAAGCCCAGGACAGCCCTTGGAAGGCAGCCTGTGAACCGGCCTAGAAGGAATCTAAGGACGTGGCTTACTAAGCTAGATGTGTGCACAGAGTGGACTGCGTAGGGCTTCCGAGCAGCTGCTAAGTAGCAAGCCGAGAGTCAGGACTGTCTCGGGATTCATGGCAAGTCCAGCAACTGCAGAGAGCCTGCACGCAGCTGCAAGGGCTGGCCTTGCTGGAGGGGAGCAGAGGCTTCATGCTGGAGTCGAGTCTAAAGGGCTGGACCAAACGACAGTCATTTACACAGCTGCTAGCAACGGGAGAGACCCCACGTGTGCTGAGCGGAGGCGTTGTCTCCATCGGTTCCCGTGCTGATGCCCTTGACTGACACAGGAAAGACAGTTCTGCATGCACGGATACACAGAGACTAAAGCAGAACTGCACCTGACCACCTAAGTGAAGCAGGCCTCCTCTCTCCCAAACAACAACAGAAGGATTGACTCAAGATACTAAGAGGCTTGAGCTTTTTTTTATTTTATTTTCTGTGCCAGACGTTGGCCCAGGCAGGGCTTGATGCATGCTGGGCAAGCATTCTGCTACTGAGCTACCTCCCCAGACCTGCAGCACACTAAACAGCACTTTATTATTATTAGGTCTTCTTCTTCTTCACTGGTCTCTTTACGTTTTTATTTCATTGACAGAATGCTTAAGCGACTCAGAATGCCCTAGGACCGATAATGTGATACAACTTCAATTTCCAAAGTGTCTTCTGGCTGTTTTGCTGTGAACTCTTCCCCAGTGGACCCTGTCACACTCTTGTTTCCTTGTCTCTGTCTTCTCTGGGGCCAGCGGTGTCACTAGCGGTATGCTAAAAACGGCTGGTCGATGACTGTGGAACCGGACGGACTGCACTCTGGGGAGTGGGATGTCGGTGTGACGCCCCGTCGACACCTGTGCGGCTCTCAGCAGCATTCTTATTCTTAGCAGATTCCAACAATATGAACATGCTTTTTGCAGTGGTTACTTCTCTCACTGCTGTGACAAAATCCTAAGGAGGACAGGCTTATTTTGACTCGAGTTTCTGGGGATTTCACTTCAGCATGAAAGTGAAGGCATGGCAGAGGGAGGGAAGGCAGGCAGGCAGAAGTGTGAGGCGGCTCTTGATCAAGAAGCAGAGATGGCACAGAGCTGAACACTACCCCATCAACCCACTCCATCAGCCAGGCCTCACTTCTTAAAGGTCCACAACCTTCCAAAGCTGTTCCACTAACCAGAGACCCAGTGAGACCTGTAACCCACAGGAATCAATTTACATTAAACCGTAGCACTGCAGAAGAACTGTACTATCACAGGACTTCGCCATTTCCCTGAGGGCATGGAGCGTCATCCATTTTCCTCTCTTGTCAAATTCACTATCATTGTGCTACCTTCTATGATGCCAGAAGGCAGCTCTGGTGAGCAGGTGAATTAAACCCTGAACCTGTAGGCACATTGCAGACAAAGGGGTGGAAAGAATGTAAGAGCTGGAAGGAAGGTGGGAGCACTCTGGAGTGCTCACTTCCAGGCGTGGCATGGCTTCTTATGCCCTTGAACTCATAGCAACTGGGATTATGTGCACAAGATTTCACAAGATTGACCCGACTGCACTCCGTCATGGAAGGGGGTGCTCCCAGGGCCCCACTCTTCCCTGAGTTAATGGGGGAAGGAGGGGCCTTTTCAGTGGTGCAGTCATTGGTCAGGTGCACATGGTCCTGCGACCAACCCTAATGAAACTCTTTTATTGGGACACACACACACACACACACACACACACACACACACACATAATGGGAGAGGGGGAGGGAGGAGAGGGACTAGTTTGGAAGAGAAAAGGGGTTAGTGGGAGTGGGTGGAGAGCAAGAGGGTAGTTAATGAGGGCTGAATTTGACCAAAGTACATTATGTACCTGTGTGGGGATGTCTTAATGAAATCCATAGCGTGTATAATCACCATGTGCTAGTGGAAACATTAGGAAAAGGGAAGAGCGCTAAACTCACACACAGCCCACGAGCCTAGAGCTGGGACAATGAATGTAGTTTGAGAGGAAAGAGCAGCCGCACACAGGGATCGGCCACAGATGTCAGTGTGGCCATGAGCAGGAGAAAGGTCGGGAAACAGAGGGAGGGATGGTTTGAGAAAGAGGGAGGAACTAGGAAGTGACAGCGTCCCCACCCAGAGAGAGTCCATGCCGGGCTGTGCCGAGAGGCTCCGAGGCTCAGGGTTGGAGGGCGGCAGCTGCTGTACTGACAGAACCTGCTGCTGGGAGATGCTCCCTTCACTTTTGGACTCACTGACGTGACTAATCACACCTGGGGCCTGCCGGCCTGGATAGTGTTTTCCCACAGAAATGCTTTGTTTATAAGACCACGTCAGGGCTGAGCCCTGCCATTTGTAATGTGCTTAGTGAAATGCTGACCTTTCCAGCTAAGTGGAGAAAGTCATCTTGGTTGTAAAAAGAAAACATTGAAACTATGCAAGGAGTTGTGGTTTTAAGTCCTGTCCTTTAATGAGAAGGTTGTAATTTTGTCGAAGTGAACTCTTCTTGATCTAAGACAGTCGGTGGAGTCCGGCTGCTAAGGTTGACAGGCGGCCGCAGGCTGTGTTGCCCTCTGTTGGTGATGGGTAGTTACTCTTGGCAGAGTAATCGCTCCATGTGTCCCTCTTTTTAATAATTGTATCAGCCATTGTACCTTAGGGAAAACGGACAGCTTCTTGAGTAAGGTGCTGCCGACGTACTTGTCCTTGATTGGTTTTTATTTTACCGTCTCTCTTTTGTTAGAGCTCCGCCTCAGATCAGACGTCCCAACCGAGAAGTGAGGCCTCTGAGGAAAGACGTGGGAGCAGGCGCCCGCGGACTGGTGGGCCGAGCGCACCCGATATCCAAGAGCGACAAACCTGGAAGTCGGGACAAGGACTGCAGAGCGAGAGGGAGAGACGACAAGGCAAGACCCGTGATTCAGGCCCTTGCGGCCCGGGCTCTGGGGGATATTGTAATCGGTGTTGAATTCGCAGTGGTCCCTAAAGTACCTGCACACACACTCACAGATGTTACAGATGTTACAGATGTGTTTAGTAAAGTGTCGGTGGACCTCCAGTTCCTAAATAAAGACATGGAGACTTCTAATTAATTATGGATGCTTGGCCTTAGCTTAGGCTTGTTCCCAACTAGATCTTATGACTTAAATGAACCCATTTATATTAATCTATGTTCTGCCACGTGGCTCGTTACCTCTCCTCCATACTGTATGTCCAACTCCGAGTCTCAATGGCTTAATCTACACACCTCAGATTCTTCCCAAGTTCCTCTCTCTCCCTGTAAATCCTAGCTATTGGCCATTCAGCTCTTTATTAAACCAATCAGACCCATCTTCACAGTGTACAAAAGGATTATCTTTCAATAGTAAAATGAATGTGCACATAGGTATAGAGGTATTTAGTAAACACACACACACCGTGCACATGCGCACACACACACACACACACATACACATATAGATGTACTTAGTAAAGTGGACCTTTTGCAGCAGCATCACAAGAGAGAGAGAGAGAAAGACCAGGAGTAACCTTGGCTGTGGGTTGCTGGATGGCTCTGGCACCATTCATGAATCATGAATTCATGAGACAGCCCCTCTCCCCTTTTCAGAGTAAGAAACTAAGGTACAGGGAGCTCTGGTCCTCTCAGAGTGAGGGCTGGAATCTGAAGACCTCCCCTCCCCTCCTCCCACTCACTGGTAAAGTCTAGATTGGATTTGAGGAAAGAAATCCACAACTGAATAAATCTCGGGTTCTAAGTGTGACTCGTAAACCGAGGACAAGGCGACCAAGCGACAGTTGTTGATGGCAGATGTGTTCCTCTGGAGGCTGTAAATGGCTTTCGTTTGTAGTGTTTTGGAATAACTCTCCAAGGCCTACCCTCTCACTGACATGCTAAGTACTCAGACCATCACTGCAAACCAGCCCTTCTTCTTTCTGCAGCTGCCGAGGTAGAAGAGGTACTGTGAGTCACCTCAGAGATGAAAGGAGCTACTATTCAAAACCAAACATGGAAGTGTCACGATAGCGATAGCGTGAAAGGTGTCATTGTCTCTGATCTGACTACCATAGCCACCCAGAAGTTAGCAGAGACTGGTTCCTAGACAAGGCTGATTTGAAAATGAAGAGGGAGGATCATTGCGGGTATTATAGACTTCTTTTTAAAAACATTTGGTTGGTATGTTGCAACAGGCTTGAAAAGATGCAGTAAAATAATCCGGGAAAAACTAGATTGTATTGCCCATAATAAAGATAGTAATTACCTTGAAAATACTTAGTTAAGTAAGTATGTAAACATTTGGTTACAGGAGCTCCCACTTGGTAAGTAAGCAGTCTGGCCTCGTGGCCTGATGGCGTGTTTTCTGACGCGCTGTTTAAAGCACACTTGTGATGTGCAGGTGAAGGGCCCAGAGTCGATCTGTTCCTTCCTGTTGGTCCCTACCTGTCTCTCCATTAAGAGCCCAGGTGTAGGCACAGTGTGGTGGCGCACGCCTTTAATCCAGCATTCGGGATACAGAGGCAGGCAGATCTCTATGAGCTCAAGCCGACCTGGTCTACATAGTAACTTGAGGCCCTGCCACAAAAATAAACAAAACAAAATTATTTATATACACATGCTTGTGTATTCTCATAATCTAGTAGATTTATTACTTTGTGTATAGAATTCTGAGAGCCTTCTATATTCCAGACACTTAGCTTCATAGGTATAAAAAATGAGGATAAGAGGAATTTATTTGGGGCCCATGAAATGGCTCGGCAGGTAAAGGAATTTATGATCAAGTCTTGTGCAGGGTTCCTGGTCTATTGCTCTTAGCTTCATGTGTAGGGTTGAGTGATAGAACGACACACGGCAGCAGTAGGAGCAGCGCTCTCCCTGAGTCCCACGAACTCTGTTGTTGCCTCTGACTCTGCTGAACTGGCTGCTGGTTCCTTCGATTCCGTCTGTGAGCACAGCCTGAAGAGACTGGGACTGTGGGACTGGGCTTCAGAGGGTCATCACTGTGTACCTGAGTTGTAAATCATGATGTGAACAGTGTCAAAGTGTTTTTTTTTAAATTTCCATTCATTTTTCTGTCATAAGAAAACACTTTTTATAAAAATATTCTGGTAAATTTTGTGAGATTACATCTTTTTTCCACTTCTTTTAAAACTTCTGGTAGGCTTCAGACTAGGTCTGAGCTTAAAGTGCTGTTTTTAGATAAGCACCAGTCACTGTGCACAAGGATTTGTTGTTGAGACCATGTTTCTTTTGAATCCTGAGGGCCACAGGGGTATCTGAATGGCAGTGTGTAGCTTACTGTATTTAGTACATTTTCCCTAGGTATGCACTTCGTGTTACTCGTGAGTAAAAGCTAATGAAGTGTACCTGGCTGTATGCCAGCACTCAGAAGGCCGAGACAGGGTGGTCGTGAGTTTGGTGCCATTGGGCTGTATAGTGAGACTTTGTCTTAGAAAAGGACCTCTGACTGACATCTGTCTGTCTGTCATTGCTGACAGGAGTGGCGGGAACAGCCAAGCCATGCTGTTAGCATTGTTTGAATGGACAGGTGTCTCAGTCTGTTTGGGCTGATGCTGAAACACCAGGGCATTTTATAAACAGTGGGACCTCCGGCAGTGTCTGGTGACGGCCTCTATAGGGCCCCACCTCCTAATGGCAGTGTACTGGCCTGGGTTTTGATGGGACATTTGGAAGACTGTATGTCCAGACTATAGCCCACAGAAAATTGAATTGACCGTTTTGTCATTTAAGCTTAGAGTCAACGTCGAAGTATGCTGAGAAATGTAAGTTGCCCTCTTTAACCTGAATTCTATTGAAAAGGATGTGTGGCTTTCGTCGTGAGATAGAGGAACATTGGTTGTTTTCACCGAGTTAATTGACCATGAATTATATTCTTTTTTTTTTGTTTTTTTTTTTTTTTGTTTTTTTGAGACAGGGTTTCTCTGTGTAGCTTTGCGCCTCTCCTGGAACTCACTTGGTAGCCCAGGCTGGCCTGGAACTCACAGAGATCCACCTGGCTCTCCCTCCCGAGTGCTGGGATTAAAGGCGTGCGCCACCACCGCCCGGCTGAATTATATTCTTAACAATATTTGAGAATCAGAGATTTATGTAGAAATAACAAATGTTTTTTCTAATTTAGAAAGGATATACTGAAAGTAAATATGAGGGAGTAGAAGGAATGTTTTTATATTATCATAAAAATAAATGTTGTGTTAGGCTAGCTGTATTGGCGTAACCAATCTATGGTTAATGAGCAGTGTCCTTCATGATCCCGTTATTCTGGCTACATGTGACTCTAAGCAGAGGGCAACTTCACTCACTGGACTCACTGCTCGGTCATTTGGCCTACAGTGCATTGTCTCATCACTTCATATATGGCAAATGGCCATGGCGAACGCTTTCCTTCTCATGGTTGGCTTCGAGACACAGGAATGAGGAGATGTGGGAACAAGATTGGGTAGTCTGTTGATGCCTGCTGATTGACGGCTGCACAAATGAACAGTGACATAAGAGGGTGCGTGAACCATAATTGTTATTTCATGAATGACCATCTCACATGGGGTGCTGATGTGTGTTTAAGAATTACTTTTCTGGAAAAAATATATGGTCATATGTAATTCATGCACATACATTCACATGTGAGTCTATTACAGATCTGATCGACATAAGGCATATGCAACTATATGCCCATAATTTAGAAATAACAATTGTCCAGTGCTCCCTATGGACTGCATAGAATGCTTTCACTGATTCAGGCCCACGCTCATATCTCTGTTTGACCTGTGACTGCATTGATGGAGGAATGCAGTATAGACGTGAATGCTGATTGATAATTTGTTTTCATCAGTAAGATGGTAGTAAAGCCATGAAAAATAAAGCATCTTGGAATTTTACTCATTCATCCACAACTTGGGCAACATTGACAAATAGGATAATTTTCAAATATTGGAAGAATACTCATTTTTTTGTGTTTTTTTAATAATGTAAAAACAACAGAAATGGCATATGTGTGTGTGTGTGTGTGTGTGTGTGTGTGTGTGTGTGTGTGTGTGTGTGTAGTGTTTGCATATATGTATGTGTTTTTGGCTAGGTATATGTGCCTGTGCATGTGAACACCAGTGAGTATGTGTGTGGAGGCCAGTGCAGATGTGTGTGGAGGCCAGTGCAGATGTGTGTGGAGGTCAGTGTAGATGTGTGGAGGTCAGTGCCGATGTGTGTGGAGGCCAGTGCAGATGTGTGTGGAGGTCAGTGCGTATGTGTGTGGAGGCCAGTGCAGATATGTGTGAACACCAGTGTGTATGTGTGTGAACACCGGTATGTATGTGTGTGGAGACCAGTGCAGATGTGTGTGAACACCAGTGTGTATGTGTGTGGAGGTCAGTGTAAATGTGTGTGGCAGTCAGAGGCTGACACCAGGTGTCTCTGTCATTCTTTACCTTATCTTTTAAGGGAGGAATATTACTTTAACTATGTAAACGTGTGTTGCATTTGTTTATGTTGGATTTGTTTAACGATGTGTTGTTTTGCCTGCCTAAGGCACCTGATTGGTCTAATAAAAAGCTGAATGGCTAATAGCTAGGCAGGAGAGGGATGGGCAGGGCTGATGGGCAGAGAGAATAAATAGGAGGAATCTAGGAACAAGAAGAAGACACGAGAGAACAAGGGAGAAAAAGGTGAAGATGCCCAGGGCCAGCCAGCCATGGAGTAGGACATACAGAATGGAAGAAAGGTAAAAAGTCCCAAAGCAAAACGTAGATGAAGAGAAACAGGTCAATTTAAGTTATAAGAGCGAGTGGGACAAGCCTAAGCTAAGACCGAGCATTTGTAACTAATAAGAAGTCTCTGTGTCATGATTTGGGTGCTAGTTGGTGGCCCAAAAGAAAGCCTGCTCCAGAGGGTCTAGTTTGCTAG